TATAGTCCAACCGTTGTCTACGCGTTCGTGACGTCATTATTGTGACGACGATCTTGAGCGGTTGGAGGAGGGAAATGATGCAAACATACAACGTTGTCAATGGTAGGTTTTTTGTTGTACTTCACGGTTTATAAAACGCAAAGAACGAGACGGGTGTTATCCAAATTCATTGAGTGCGCCGATATTTTTACCCTTCAAAACTGATTAACTGTTCAAGTCCGCCAGTTATCGAATAGAAAACAGGGTGACACTTTTATCGAAATGTTTGCGAAACGTCGCGATCAATCATCATTTATATTGGGTATAAGTTCAAACTCTCAGCAGGGACAGCTTTTATTTTATTTTTACGTCAAACTGTGTACATTAAGCACAACACAATAACATAATGCGGGTATATGTATACAACCCACAACAGTGAAACTTTCTATTTCGAAAACCTTAGGGTAAGAATTAAAATGTGTCCGCTTAGGGATGCATTTTTTTCACGCAAGTTTATGCCAAGCAGTTTAGATATGTCCATTAGTGAGAATATGTTTAATACTATAAGATGATTCGCTGTAAAATAATCTAAAACACATCTTAAGCTTTGAACGAGTTACACTATACAGGAAGAAAATTAAATCAAATATAAATACGTCTTTTAAAATTGTTGAACACTAAATTCTTCGTAAATGCAAGTATTCCTACCTATAATAGAGTATTACTTGTATTCTGTACGTGATTTTTAAAACCTAATATAAAATTTCACTCACAAGTGCAATTAAAATTTCGTAATTGTTGTGCTTGAAGACTTTCAAAGAATTATATGTGCTTTAGTTATTATAGACCGATTTCAACTTAAATCGGCAACCTCAATTCTACAAAGGTACCTACATAAGATCTTAAATATAGTTAAGATCTTAGTTGTGTACCTTGACACAATTATTATATTATTTTTAATATTTACACATCAATACATTTAATAATATGGGTCCCACTCACAAAATATTTGTACAAGAGACGATAAAAATTAACATTTCAGCATTTTAATATATTTTATTTTAAACAAATGTATTACAGAATAAAATCGTATTATGGATGAAGAGTCACAAACAGCATATTCATAATTCGCAGGTTAAAAAGTAGGTGCTAAAATGGATTAAAATTGAACTTACATAAATGGTTGAAGATATAAAAATAAATATTTGCTTTGCAGATGATAAATCGAGATTACGAATTTAAGAAAAAACAGTTATTTCTATTTTAATATTCAGTTAAACTCATATAATATGATTTCAGGTGAACAGAGATTACCATAAATAATTGTTTACGGTTTTACTGCAATACATAAAATCGTCGAGGTAATACCATTGAAACGAACATTTATGTAACTGTGTAAAATACACTTTTGATTCCGCTCCGAATGAAAAAGTCTACGTGTGCTTTGAGAATAATCTAATGCAAACCATTGTTTACTACATAAACTGGAACAGTAAAATTAATATCCACGGTAAACTATTGTTTAGTGACAGAAAATATCTAAAAGGATTTCCCAAATCGGTACAATGCAGAGTTGTCTTTTCTATTGCTACATGGTTCGGTTACGTTAATATTTCATATTATACGATAAAACAAGATACCATCAAGGTATCCTCAATCTTTAAAGGGAATATTCAAAATTGTTTACGAGTTCATCTTTATACAATTCGATATAATTCAAAAACAATAACTTAAATGTGTACTATTATTTTATTTTAAGATAATTATTTTGATAAGCTTAATATGTAACGCTTTTTAAGTTTTTTTAAATTAAAAATAAATCTTAAATATTAAAACTAAATTAAAACTTTTTCAAGTATCATTGGCTTAAAATAATGTTTACATACAACCTAAATTTAATCTTCTTATTTTGCTATATATTTGTATTTAAATTCTTTATTAAAAGTATGTTTATAAAAGTTATAATAAATTCTAATTAAAAAAAAAAAACTTAAATGCTCTTATTATTGTCAAACTATTTATTTAAAAGTGTAGTTAATAACCCTAAGAAATAAATGAACGTGTGTGTTGTGTGATACATTTAAAATCACAATTATAATTTGTTTTTTTAAACTTGAATTTCAAATGAATATTACAAATTTCAACACAGGCGAGTAATGAAATATATTAAGCTGCAAATTAATTTCAGGATAATTTCAGGGAATTAAATTACTATTCTCACAAATATACAAGCTCATACAATATGTATTTTCAAGAAGTACATGTTATACTGAATAGGGCCTAGAACATAATGCCTTGTGAATTAATGCCGACTTGTGTGAAAATACGATTCAGCTTATTTCACAAATAATGGAATTTAATAGAATAGGTACACCGCACATATTAATTTACAATACCGTTGATTAAATAATACTCTATAATAATCTGGTATTATTTAATCAATGCATGTGAAAAAAAAATGTGAAAAAAACATAATTTTTTGTGTCCGTCCAAGACACGAAGATTGAAAATTAAAAATACCCTAATTTATATCATAAAAGCAATGTTTTTCATAATATTATGTAACTATATATTTAAGGAAACTCGGCACACTAGGGCTTTATGACACAAAGAAGTTGAGAACACTAAACTTGAAAACGCGAAAAAATCAACTAAGAATATCACCTAAACATATTTAACGCCTTAATGAAATAAACATTTCAAAATAATATAAGATTAAAAATAATTCCAAATCATCAAGAGAATGTAAAGTAATGTTCCAATTCGATTTTAAATTAATCCCGTTTAAATAATACATGGAACTATGGAAGTGGTAGACACATAGACGTGTCTTCAAAACGTTATGCCACGCTTAATCACATAAGAATCTAATATGATCTATAGATTTTAGATTATTTTTTATTTCAACTTGGAAAACCCTGTATACATTGCATACATTTATATTTTTGTATAGGTGCGTATAGTCCTAGCTTCATTTTTTAACAATGATAAATCGTTAATTTGTTTAAATAAAATATTATCGAGTACTAATCTTACAGATACCTATTAAATAATACAACATAAAATTAAATTTGGAAGTCTTTTACTTTTTACCGATCTGTGGCAAAAATTATTGATAACCAAATGTGGATCAATGGAAGTTAATTTTTACTACTACAATATACAAATAAATATATATACCAATATTTTAGCCACACTGAGGTCTCCGTACATCAAATGAAAAGCAAAAGATAATGGTCCTGCGATGAAACCATGTACGTGAATAGAACCTATAAATATACTGATTATCATGGTTGAAGACATAAATACACAAAGATTAATACAAAAATAATAATAACATAAATAATGGTTGTCGTATTGTACATGCCTGCCATCAAAGATATACCCACTATAATCTGTATTATTATTTTTGTTTTGAAAAATGTTGGGCCGGTCAAACAACAAATGTCCGTCTTAGGCGTGGCGTTGACGAGTTTATCATTAGGGATAGACCGCGGCGGGATGTAATACCATTATATTTTTGAGAAGAAAATATAAATGCCCTAAAAGCATTAACAAAAGACACGTGTGTCTACGTAACAAGCTATATATCCATTATTATTTAATAACATGTCCCCGCGTGTTAATGAACGAATGTTTGGAACAACTAAATTGTAAGAAATCTTCAAAAATCTAATTAGTTGACAATTAGCAGTTGGGTAGTTAGTAGACAATTTATTAAGTACATTGTCAATAAAGAATATTAGAACACAACTGATACGGATATATAACACTATTAATTAATTACTTATTATAATTTATGTTTGTGACTTCCTATACGTAATACCTATAAACAATTATAATATAATATAAGAACATTTTAATTATTATATTGATATAAAAATAAGAAATTCATTCCTTAATTTAAGTATGAAATAAATTTATTGAACCAAAAAATAAATGTGAGGGAGAAATGGCGGTTGCTACACTATACATATAATACGGTTGAGACTTGAGACGGTTGTAAATAACGGTTATTTTATTGGGAGCATCTTGTAATTTCGAATTGAAATTTCTGCTTATAAAAATCGACAATTTTTAATAGTAGCAATATTATGTCTAGAACAGATGAGAGTACATTTCAGTAGATATTACGAATCTTTGTGGATTCATTTGACCGTAGCCACACAAGACAATGCGTACAAGCAGCTGCATTGTCACAAAATGCCAGTGCGCGTGGCTATGGTCAACACTGATCTAACAGTAAACCAGTCATTGTTGGAAATCGGTACATTACTATACTTGACTGATAAATTTAGTCAATGTTATTTACCAGTATTTTAAAGTTAAGCTGGTTATCGATTTGTCGCTCATGAAACATTACATATTACTTAATTGTTGGATTTACGCTTAAACCAAAAGAATGCAAACAACAATAGTTGGCATTCAAATACATACTAACATTTATTATTTTTCAAAAAAAAAGTTTTGAAAATCCCAACGTAGGGGCTGGGCCAGGTCAGGCCATCGAGGACAAGCGTGTATTCAAAATGCCTAACAGTTTGTTTTGTGAAAATAAGTAAAATAATTTGATTATATACCTCATATTAATTTTTTTATTAATTATGTACTATAGTAAAAGATAGTAACATAATAAATGATTTCATCTATTTATGTAGGTAGTGTACTAATAAATAAATTAATATAGCCCACATCGAGTATCAATTTTAGTAATTTTATGATGTGTGTATGATATTCGATCAATGTTGCCACCTAACCAAATTATACATTGTTAAAAAAGACTAGTCACAACTAAAATTAGCTGATTTCCGGCATTTGGGTAACGTAATATATAGTACATACCTACTAGAAATAAATATATATACAATAATGTATACATTTAGATTATCTGAACTTATATTCAATAATTGTAACAAACAAAAAAACATAATATGAAAGTTTATGGTATATTCAAAATATATTTGTTTTATTTATATAATATTAAAAGTAGATAATATTTGAGAAAGGCTTTAAAAAATACACACACAATATTCGAGAATTGAAAATTATATCGGACTTATTTTACTCTACTTAGTATACTTGACTTCATTATTTTATGTAATTAAATTACAAAGTTTTACCATTAAATATAGATAATACTCTACCTATATAGTAGGAATATTTAGTTATTTTATAAAAACAAACGGTAAATTGCTTATACTATAAATATTGGTATTGACTCTAACATCATTAAACTGTTTCAACCTATACTCATCACTTACATCAAATTTTCATTGATTATAATTTATAATTTTTCAGGTCATGCATTCAAGATTCTTTACCAGGAATAGCGCACAGGTAAATTGATAATTATATGGGTTACATTTTTTAGGATTTTAATCATATATGTATACAACTATATCGAATCTATTATACTTATTAGGTACCTAGTTATTAAGTGTAATTATTACATAGACATAGATAGTAATAAGGTAAAAGTAATACCTCCTCAATTCCTCAGTTCCTACCTCAATTGTGGTACCACACGAAAAAAAATAGTATGGGTAATTACTAATTACATTTAGGGCATTACATTTATTTTTATAACAGTTCATACACTTATCAATTATTATACAATATACATCCATGCATATGAAATTCTAATAAGAAATAAATAAACAAAATATAGTCAGATAACGTTCAATATTTCATCATTCAGCATGTTTTAGAAAGTGACAATCATTAATCAATGCTATTAGCCTTTCCGACAACATATAGACATTTCCGATAACTGCCCACGACATTCTAAAACATCATTTATTATAGAAAAATCTACAGTAACTGATTTAAATTTTGTATTTTTAAATAAAGTATAGGAAAGCATTGTTTATAAAACAGTAATGTATAGGTACACTGCAGCACATGCGTCACATTGAATTCAACTTTTACTTAACTGCAGTAAATGGCGTAGGCGAAAATTCAATAAATTTTTTCCCTTTTAATTGAAAATAATGAACCAAACAGGAACGCGTATGCCAATTAACTACAACACCTATTAAACTATAATGCAGAATAAAAAAAAGGTGAAATTCATTGTATGAATACTGCGATAATATTCCTCCGATGTTTAAAAAAATCCTTTTTCATATTCGTCCAAACTGAAATAAAACTATGAAAGTATAAACATTAAATTAACAATGATTTATCGCACAATAACGGACACACAATGACGTAAATCAGTAGATAATTTGTATTTATGTAATTTGTAAATCTATAGAATTAAATCAATTTTTAATACTTGATACTATATACAAATTAAAACTATATACAAATATAAAATAAATATTCTACCGACCAACTGTTTGAAAAACTATCAAAATTTCAAAAACATATATCAAAATTAAAATTAAAATTGTATTTTCATTTTACAGAGTTTTTAGAAAAACTGCCCAGAACAACAAGCTGTGTTTATATTTGGGCAATAGAGACGTAGTGGTGTCCAATAATTCGTCCACAAAAATACACGGAATCGTATTAGTGGAACCAGATCTATTGAGGGATACAAAGAAAAAAGTACTGTCAATTAAAGTATTTTTTTATATTTTTAATTACATGAAGTAACTAAATATTTTTTATGAAATCATTAAAGTAAAAAATATCATGTTTCAGCGTAATAATAATAAATTGTATTTATCATTAATTAAGTTATTACTCTTGCAGACAATATATTTAATTACACACTTCGAATATATACATAGAAGTTACAATGTTTGTAACGAATGATTAAAAAGTGTAATCAAAATCACAGTTATTATAAATCTCCATACAATATATTATTATCTACGTTGAAAATATAATTGTATTTATATTATTATGGTTGTCATTCAAAGTTTTTCTGCACAAACATTTACTCATATTAAGTTATGACGTATAAACTCGCATATAGACTACAAGTCTACAACAAACTTTGTACTTCGTGATTCTTAATACATAATACTATGTTTATATAAACAAGGCATATAGTTTATTTAGAGATGAATCACTGACATTTTTCACATTACAACTAATAATATAAATAAATAAATATCAACTAAGTATAACGCAAAACAATAATAAATCATTATTTTACCGGAGGATAAAAATATAAAAATATTAACATATAAAATTGTTCAAATAAATACTAAAATATACATATAGGTACGCATAATATGTTTTTACAAGTAGAAACATTGTAGGTACTAGGTAATAGATATACTGAGTTAGAAACAGGAAATATACGCTCAGTTGAGTTGCTACTCGCGGTTGCAACGATCGACCGTAATATTATTAACAGGTTGGTATATATAGATTATAGGTGCAAGGTACCTATCATCATTTAATTAAGCATTTTTAACAATTACTGTACAGTTATTGTCTAAAATAATTCAGTTGGTAGATACGTATGCGTATGTACAGGATGTATTAAGTGCACACGAAAAATTATATAATATACCATTGAAAAACACCCCTTCACGACTTCACATACACTGTACAGTACTGTAAAACTCATTGGTTAAATTACTTTCGAGACCTACATTGGCGTTAAAAGCATTTCAACGCGGTCATGCTGAGTTTTACAGTATTATTATTGCTCTTATTACTTCCCGGTTCTTTTGCGTCTTTAATGGATTTTAAATGGGCACCGTCGACAAAACACGCAACGAAACGATGGTGTTTAACAGGAGAATTTTAATACAAAGACGTTTGTGTACGATGACATGTCATGTGTGTTAAATGTTAATAGTTGACTAGGTAGGTTACTAACCTTTAAAAATAAACTTAAAAAAAATAATGAATGAACGTAACACCGCTTGATACAACTTTATTATAAATGAATCACCCCATACAAAATTATCCAATGAACTTTGATAGATTCATAACAAAACAGTTTTAAGCGATTAATAGAACATGATCAACCCAACTTTATTTTCTAGAGTAATATTATATCGTACACCGGCATAATATTATAAATTATTATTACTAAAAATTGCATTTCAATTCATAAAGGTGTTCGGGCAAATAACATTAACTTTCCGGTATGGAAGAGAAGATGAGGAAGTAATGGGATTGAAATTCTGTAACGAAGCAATCATGTGTTTAGCGCAAATTTATCCACCTCACGAAAATGCACAACGTGAACAAAATACACCGTTACAGGTATATAAATATTGATTATATTATGTATGTTCATCTAAAAATAAAGTATTGTAATTTATAACACTATTACTTTTAACAATCGACTGATCAATCCTTTAAAATTCAAATTAAATATTATATTTTATATACGCTTAAATAATTACTTTTTGAAATGTATTAATATTATATGAAAATATATAAAATCTAAAAATTATTCATTATCGTAGCCAGTAGGTAAAAACTAATATAGTAGTGTTTTATTTATTTTTAAATGCATAATAAATCAAACACGATTTAAATTATATTCAGATTTAATTGATCTTCGTCAAACAAATAATTTCTAATTTATTTATTTTTAATAATAAGCTTTCAGTAATAAAATTGTAAATATTAAATTAATTCCTAAATTTAACCATAACAAAAAGCAAATAAAACTATAAGTAAACCAAAGCTAAGGTCTATTCAAAATTTGTATCAGATAACTTTCAAAAGTATTAACCACCTCTAATTCACACATTTATTATAAATTATTTTCGATCGTACATAGGTATGTAATGAATTTTTTATTCGATATATCCCTGTAGACTGTTTGTAAAAAGGGAATAACTAAATGTTTAAATATTTCGAAACACATTTTTTTTACACCGATAAAATAACCTAACCTAAGATTTTAGGTCTTTTTATTCACAATCATATGCATACTAGTATGTCAATATGCAGTATGTATTTAAACTAAAGCATGATTTATTATTGAATATAATATATATAAATATAAACAACTAAATAGCTCAACAATAAGTGAATCATAGAAAAAATATATATTAAACGTTATTTAATAATTTAATGTATTAATAAAAGTTATTAACTAAAAATATGTTCATAAAATAGAAATATGATACATAAAAAATCTCATTCTAGCAATGTACATAATAAATATTATAAATTTCATATCGTTATCGGGCTTTTAATTAATCTAATTAAAAACATCTAACGAAATAGTGTATATTCTAATGCATAAAAGTTCCCTTAAAATACAACTTTTTGTTTTTATTTTCTAAGGAAATGTTAATACAAAGACTGGGAAGCAATGCTCATGCGTTTTCAATGGAAATAACTCATTTAGCTCCACCTAGCGTCCAATTAGTTCCTGCCAAAGAATACAACGGCGCTCCAATAGGAACTAGTTACGATATACGAGTATACATAGGTATGGAAAAAAACAATAATATAATATTATTAATTTAAAAAATATAATTAAATAGTATTATATATTGAGTATACATTGTAAACATTGAGTTATACGTGTACGGTGTATTTATTATAAGCAGATCATTAACTTGTATATAATTTAAAAGATTTCATACGTTTTATTTGAATCAATAAATATTTTTACAACGTCAATAAACAAATTTTTTCTCACATGTCACAAACTTATTATTAAAATACTTTAAACGCCAATAGAACGACTATTAACTGATGCGTAAAATCTATTACATAAACTACATTAATTTCCTTAACAAAATAGTATAATTTATTTTATTTAAATTTATAATACATTTTAAGTTTCTTAAATATTTTCTCGCGAACAATTAAAGTGATGGTCATGTTAACTGAATGTTATCATTATAATAACAAATGATTACAAAAACACATATAATTAATATATAAGTAGTAAGTACAATGTGAATGTATATAATATTATCGCGTATGCAATGGCTCATCATTCATTAAAATTTCGACTCTCAAAGGAGGTTTAAGGAATTGTATTCAAATTAGATCAAGCGCTACAGATGTTTTACCACAAACGGTTTCTAGTTCAATTAATTATAAGTTTAACAAATACCGAGGGAAATGACATAATTTTACGGACAAGACTTAAATATTTTCGAAATGAAAAATGTTAGCTCAGTGAAAACAAGTATTACCCAAGTATTATTCTACTGAAAGATTTTTTATATCCCTTATTAGCACACGAATAAACGATTAATCAAAGTAATATTAATTAAACATAAAATACAAATTATATAATGCCTTTAACATATAATATGTATAAAAGTTACCTAAATTTAATACTCAAGTTTTTGATAAACAAAGCCCTTGCACGTCGAAATATCTCTAATATTTACTTAAATGTACTGTGTACAAAAATTAACAATGTTATTGTGTGTATACAAATGTAGCCGAAAGGGCAGACGAAAAGTTACAGCGAAAAAATATCGTAAAAATGGGTATCAAAGTAGTGCAAATGGCTTCAGCGCCACCACCGCCCACGCCTACGCCCAGATCAGAGCAGCCAAAAGGTTGGCGTCAAAGAGGACCGCAAGCTACTTCAGAGAAACCGTTTTTACTTAGCGACGGTAAAGTTACCTTAGAGGCAAACCTAGACAAAGCTATTTATACACACGGTGATCCAATTCACGTTAACATCAGCGTGAAGAACACAAGTAAAAAAGCTGTCAGACGAATAAAGGTAAAAGCTTCAAGTTAAAAAAGTAGAACAAATTCCCCTACACTATCAGTAAAACATACTAGTAGTGCCACTAATATGCATTTTATTTTCGAATAAATGATTACCGATTCAACTCAAATAATTCTGAAATTTAAACAACACAGTGTTATTATGACGTAATATATGTACCAATTGTATAGCTGTTATATTTTTCTGCAGATTTTTGACAAACAAAATCGATTTTAATATTTTACTGCAGGACAACTACTAAAAAAATACAACGAAATTCTATGATATCAGCTACCTAGTATAACACCGTTCCGTCCAGACTGACGATATTATATACATTTATAGGTGTTCATTGTACAGCACGTCGACGTATGCATGTTCAGCAATGGTAAATTTAAGAACACAGTTGCATCAGATGAATGTGCCGATGTACCGATACCCGGAAATGGTGGTTCACTCGAAAAAGAATACCTGCTGCACCCTATCAAGGCGAGAACCAAAAATTGGATCGCACTTGAGGACTCGCTGGGGTCTGCCGTAAACAAGTCGGAGGGCACGTTATCTAGCACTGTGGTGTGCGTGTCGCCAGAAGACAGAAACGTATTTGCAATTTACGTCACGTATTACGTAAAAGTCAAGCTTTTAATAGGCGCCATGGGTGGTCAGATGTCACTCAAATTACCATTTACTTTGATGCACACGCCTTCAAATACTTACCCGGCAGGTAAACTATTTTTAGACAAGTCACAAGTAGCTACAAGTACCTATAATAGGTAAAGCCGTATAAGTACTTCATAACCGATAATGCGGAGTAATTAAATATTTTTTTAAATTATATGGCTAAATCATATCAATATTTTTTTTCACGAGAAGATCCAACTATTTATGTTAAATTAAGATTATAATTTTAGTCTATAATCATTGATCATCATTAATTTATTGTCACAACCGGATGGCAGTAGCCAGTCTTCCCTAACCACCAAAAATAAGTCCTAGTTGAGCAGCACTGTTACTCATTACATAATAGAAGTTTTAACATCTGTTTAACCGCGATGTACAAAAACAAATTTTTTGTATTATGATTTACTAATAACCAGAAATTTGGCGTTTCAGAACACTGTGGACCCCTCCCTCCACCCAAAATACGGCCATGACTTTATCGATTTTGTTTGTTTCCGTATAATTTATTAATATACCTAAAATTTGTATATATTTGTGACATAGAATGCAAGGATTCTTCATGTGCGTCATTGGGACCCTGTCTAATGGTGGACAGTAAAGAAGCAGCAATGACATCAGACGAACAATGCACCAACAACTTAGCACTCTGAGGATTAATCGAATCGGCCGATAATCGACATATTCGTTCGACACCAACAACAGCCACGGCCGATCAAAATGCCGAAGATCATCATGAAGACAACCGTTTTAAATTTAAAAGAATTTTATGCTGTTTTAACAACAACAGATAGTGTAGGGGGACCAACTACAAAAAAGTTTTATTGTTATTTTTTATACTACATAAAATAGATTGTACATAGTAGTAGGTACCTCTATTCGAGTAAGTAAAAAACTATGATTGTATAATAGTTAAAATATATAATTAGAAAACAATATAAAACTTATCAAATTCAATATAAGCCCAAAATAATTTACAGTTTTTAGGATATTATAATATTATGTCTTCTTCATTATAACGTCTGAGGTTGTTAATTTGAATAATAAAATCTCAGAAAACTAAAGAACATTTTACCAATACCAATAACCAGGCTGATTTCTTGCAGGGTAGAGTAATTTTACGATTTAAAAACTGTACAGTATTATTCTAGACAAGCCGTATTCTAAAATCCAATGGAGCTCAATAATCTACTTAATGCTTCTATTAAAATGATGTTTTCAAGTCGTGTTTAAAAAAATAAAAATAAGCACAGCTTAAAATAACCAATTAAAAATTAAAAACACTGAATACACATTTAAGCTTATAATAATTTCAGTTTGATTGTATACATTAGTTGAGTTTCACATATGTAAATTGATGTTGTCTTTGAAAATAAAATATATTATTTGTGTTCATAAATAAAGTCAATTCTATAAGAAGTCATGCATTGATGATTATTGAATATCATAATATAAAGGGAAAATGGCATTAACTATACATCATTTTTCTACAGAAAAATTAAAAAAGGTACAAATAATATGAGATATTAACATAACAATAATTATCAGCGATTTATATCATTTAAAAATTCAAAAACTTAAATTAAAAAAATTGTTCAAATAAATAGATATTTATTTGTAATTCCTCTCAATACCAGAACAATGTTGTATGCTCCAATAAAAAATCATTTTACAGAAATCAAAAAAATATATATATAATAAATAGATAAAAAGTATCACCTATCACAGAATAAACTTAATACTTCATTGTTAATAATATAATTCATATTAAAATATTATGTATATTCATTGGGTTGGATAATATTTTGATCCGTTTTTTACCACAGAACTAATTTTATAACAAATTAACTTAAAACAATTTTATTTGATTGCCATGATTGCAATAATTAGGAGATTGAAAATTCCATTCTTCATCTGTCAATTAGTTAGTAGTAAAAGTAGTTAAAAGTACTACTAAACAACATTATACAAATATTATTTTAATCTAATTATAAATATATCACATACGATTCACCAAGCTACTCATTCCCTTTTTTCCTTCAATAATGTAGTTATTTATAATATGAATTTTTGCATTTTTGAATACACTGATTTGTTTGTATTACTTAAGGATTTAAAGGAAACATAGAGATGAGAATGCTTGAGGAATCATCCTGTATAAGAATAGTTAATCAAAACAAGATATACTTTAAAATACCTATGGTTAATAAATACTCGCATTATAATTATTTAAGTTTAACTCCTACGGTTACATTTAAGTTATACTTTTTAATTACTTTTATTTATTTAAAATACTAATTTTCATAGACTTCATAACTGTCAAAACCTATTTTCAAACAAGTATTTTACTAGATTTATGTTAATATTATGTTAAGAAACTCATACAATCAAATAAATCATTGTGACATTTTGTAAAGTTTAATACATGGTTAAGAATTTAGTTAGTTAGAATATGTATGGAGACATTTTAGAAATGAATTTTTTTTTTTTTGACAAATTAATTTATAATTTTAAAAATGTTGTTATTGCGATCACGCAATTAGGGGGACTAATCTTGTACAACTGAAAATGATAGTTTAATATTTCAAGGAGTACATTATTTATTTCTCTTCGTAAATTGTTTATAATGTAGATAATACTTAACATTTTTGTTGTTAAATCATTTAGTGATTTTAATTATAGCCGTAAGTATTCAATAAAAATTAATTTCAGTAAAATCATTGATACCTGGAGAAATTACTCATGTATGATTGGTATAATGACTACCTAATACAAGTATAACCTTAAAGGTATTAACTGAGAATTTAATTAAAATTTAGATTTACAACCTCAAAATGATTTCAACATTAATTATTTGGTAAATTGTTACTAAACTGTAAATAAATTGAATTGTTGATGCTTAATCATTATTGAAATTAGATGTATTTTAATTATTGTAAAGCCTAAGATTTATCAGGTTTAAAAGTTAATAAATGTTGTGTTAAAATGTTTAAGCAACTAAATTGTTACAATAAAAGTGTCTTAGGTTAACTCATACATAAGTTTACAAATACCTTAATACATTTTGCAATAGTTTTATATAATCAACAAGTTTTGTAAAATGTATGGATTTAACTTTTTAAGCCAATGTACATATCAGAATATTTTATAAATGCTATGTAAGTGTATATTTTTAATGGCATAATCAAAAGGTCAAGTCTCACATGTTGCGATTAAATATTTAAAAAATGTAATTATTGAGTATAAATTATTTTAATAAAAAGCTTAAAAGTTTATATTACAAAGATATTCCAGAAAAAAAATTGTTTTCATCAACTTCTTTACAACAAAATCAATGAATTACCTTTAACACATTAGTTGTTTTTTCAACAAATAAATAATTATTTTATTCAAATTTAGTTAGATAATAATAAAACTAATATATCTTTTAATTTGAAAACTATTTAATACTATTTAAATGGTACATGTACTGAAGAGACTAGACCTTTTAACATTTATATATTAAATTTGTTAATATATATTATATAATTGTGTTTAAATATAAAAGATTTTTACACGCACTTATAAAATAATATTTTGTTCTTTCATTGCAATGCTTTTTTAAATCATTATATCAAGACATCAAGTTCCCAATAGTAACATAGATTAATTATTAATTATTAAAATGTATAGATTTTATAAGATCCTGAGTAAATCAATGTAACCAAAACAGCTGCAAAATCTTGGTATGTGAGGTACGTATTTTGTAAAGGACTTTGGATATGAACTTATCCAAAACTTACTCTATGACTTAAGAAATCAAACCTAAGAAAAACCATGAATTGAAAAAATGAAAACTATACTGTGATTAATTATTTGTAAGTCTTGATAACTATCAGTATTTTAAAAAACGTTGAAAACAAAACATATCGGGTTGTTATTAAAAAACTTAAACGTCAGTCAAGCCACTAACAAATTACTAGATCAGGGATTCCCAACAGCCATACCGCGGCGCATAAGTGTGCCGCAAAATTATTTAGGTGTGCCGTGTAATTTTTGTCTTACGTTGTAATTGTGTAATAGAAATCTCCTAAAAATAAAAATTGATAAAATGTCCACATGGAAAGACACAGCACTAACTATACATTAGAATATTAGATAGTTCCCGATCCAACATTTTCAAAATAAACGATGGGCAAATCCAATATTAAAGAACTACAACAACTTATAATTGAGCATCTTATATTACTCGAAGAAAAAATCTAACATTATTTTCCTTTCTTGACAACATCTGCAGATTGGGTCGTGTTGCCATTTGATTTTACAGACAATATGAATGAAATTGATCTTACTAATGACGAAAAGAATGAATTCATTGATATGTGTTCTAGTTCTACTATCCGAATATTATTTAATAGTCAGAAAAGTAACATAGATTCCTTCTGGTTAAATTTAGCTTCAGAATATCCATCTATTTCTCAGAAAGCGATACTATTGTTATTACCATTTTCTACATCATATCTTGGTGAACAGGCATTTTTTGCTCTGAACCATATAAAAACAAGTAGTAAAAATTGTTTGAAAAATGTTGAACCTGATTTGTGTCTTGCTGTTTCAACTGTTTCACCCTGAATAGAGGAATTGTGTAAAAAACACCAGTCTCAAATATCACATTAAATTTGAATCATTAAAATATTAAACAAAAACAATTTATTATTTATAATTTATTAAGTTTCAGATTATAATTTTTTTTTTTAATTTACATTATATTTAAGTTTCACATAATTTTTTATTTATTTTTATCAAAATTAATGAATAAAAATATTGGAGTTTCAAAATATTACTGTAGTTTATATTTCTACAACTCCTATTTAATACAAGTATCTTGTGAGTATTGTAATTAGATAATGTCAAAAATACAAAAAAAAGCATTTTTTAGAAGATCAATGACACAATTGTGATTTTTTTTATTAATTATTTATTTGTGTACCGTGAAATTTTTTTAAATGATCAAGTGTGCCGTTAGGTAAAAAAGGTTGGGAATCCCTGTACTAGATAATGACTCCCTACTTGATGATATTACAGTAAATTCTTCATAAGTAACTTTATAAGTTTATAACAATAAATAAATAAAATAATATCTTAACTATAAAAAGTTAAAAGTTAGTGTTTTAACTGTCTTGAATCAAATATACAATTAATTGTAATAAATACAACTGAAAAATACAGTTCATCTATATTATAGAATCTAAAATATTAAAATACTTACAACTTTACATTAGTTAATAATTATTACTTATTACTTATTTTATAGCTAATGTTCTAATAATTTTAAACTCTCAACATTTGACAACATTTAAATAGCTTAAAAAAACATAAAAATGTAATATTATACCATACATTAGTACCTAAAACCTAGTATTTAAAAAACAGTATTTGGTAAAATTGTCATACACACAGTTTTTGTACTAAATTGTTTACATTCATATATATATATATGTAATATGTATATATATACATTGCATTTTATAACTACAATGATGAAATATTAATAAACAAGTATTAAGTTATATTAAAACCATTATACATAAATTAAAGATTGATACATTATACTCTATTCCAAATAAGTTTGGAAAAAAATCCTGATGGAAAAGCATCGCAGTTAGCCCAAGCGCAGTCTTGGTGGCTGACAACTGCAACCAATCCCACCGGCCCTAACTTTCCAAAGCTTGCAGTTCACAATTTATCTAAGCTTATTTGGAATATAATACGGTATAAAATTAAAATGACACCGGTTGTTGAGACTTATCAAGTTTTATGACCTTAAAGGAAAGAGCCACAAAAAATGCATGAGTAAGTTGTACAATATGTTAAATTTTATCGGTAGTTATGACCTATTATCTTTGTTTTCTTGATCGTCATTATAAACAATTTCCACTGTATTATCAAATTGATTTCAACTTAATCTTATTTTAAAAAATGAATGCTTACCATGAAAGTCAAATCTTTGACCACCCCGTACAACATATTTCGATTGGTTGGATGAGTCATTTTGATCTGTAACCTTGATCAAAATGTATTTATAACGGCCTTTGTCATCAATATCTACGTCTGGAATTTTTTCTAATGCTGAAGATGACATTGTGCGTATGATTAACTAAAAAATATTCAATTACTTTAAAAAAACATTTCCATTAACTATGTATGCATAAGACAAAAATGTACACATACAACTTTTAAATAAATGATCAATAAAAATCACTACTATTCAAAATCAAATATAACAAATTATATTTGTAATACTTTATAATTGTAAACAAGTAACTCCTTTGCCCCACCACAAGCTATGCTTCTTAGGGTAAATTAATCAAAATGTAATATGAAATTTTATTTTAACTCATTCTGTTTAGATTTGATTTTCTTGATAAAAAAAAAAAAAATTAAAACATTAAAACTAAAATATTTAACTGAAGTTTTCAGTATTTATTTATGAACAATTTATTTTTTTAAATAACCACTTTACCATACAATTTATATAAAATCATTGCTCCACCCTAGATTTTTATGAGCTGATCAAATTTTTGTGCCAGTTTTATCACATTTGAAATGGTAGCTATGGTAGCTATGCTCACACAAGCCCATAATCGTACCTAGATAATTTTGATTATTAAGGAACATCTACCGTAGACATTAACAATTTATTCATTTAGATTCATATAAAATGAATGGTATATTATACAAATTAGTTTAAAATTCTTAAGTAATAATAATTATTATTATTAATACGAACAAAGGTTTACAAGAGTAGGTACATGAATTTCATAACAGTTTGGAAAAAACATAAATATTTAATTTAAAACGTGGAGTCCCCTCATTGGCAATATTTATTCATATAATTAATTTTGAATTAGGAAATAAGAAAAGACTCATAAACTGGAAAATTATTAGAGAATATAATATTCATATTATAGGTATGAATCATAAATTACCTAATAACATAACTATTACTTTTGTTATTTAATTTTTCTTTAGAAATCAATTTTTCTTCTAATTTTGATATTACAACTTCCTCAGCAGATAACTCATAAAGTAATACATTTTTAATTTATTTTATGAGTTAATGAATAATATTTTGAAAAATTAACGTATAATACTATGATTCATATTATATTATAAGGTTAATGGTGAAAACAAAAAGTAAATATTCCATCTATCTTATCATTGTTATTCAAATAAATATTTACTTAATTCTTTTTAACTTAACGTTGTTGCTTGAAATTCGTTAAATTAATATATCATGTTTTTATATAACTGGGTACTTCACTGAACAAAGACTACAAAGTAAGGTTAAAGGTACCATGAATTACAAAATGTTGTTTTATATATTTGCGTTCTTAAAAGTTATTTCAACTTCTTTGTCATGTTATAACTTTTGACGAGCGGTACAATAGACTTTGTAATACACCTATTACTTTAAATAAATGAACATTGGGCAATGAACAATGAACATTTTACACCAGGATAAGAAAAACTAAAATGACGGCCATGGATCCATGAGCAATTATAAAATAAGCATTTACCTTAACAAATCGTGGTCTTGAAAAGGTTGTTAATCTTTCAAAAATCATCAACTTTTGAACTCTAGAAACAACGGTTTTACGAAGGACACAATAATTACTAAGTAGGTACTAATATAAATAAGTAAATACTAATAACATCAACACACGTCGAGTATACGAGTAGTCAGTAACCTGCAACCGCCAATATCACATTATACTAACCAGTAACCGGTAAAATTAAAATTTGATAACATTTATCAAGTATGATAATACCACAGGGCACACAGGAGTAAAGGACGTACCTGTGGAATAAAAATGATAGACCGTATGGCTTATACTTATAAACAAAATAGTTGAGACTTTGAGAGCATAGACAAGTATACTAAGTATACTACTGGTTGTGAGTTGAGACTTTGAGATCCTAGATAAAACCCTAATATTAATGTCTAGCTCATAGTGCTTATACTTAGGATTTATTTATAAGATGTATTATAATATGGATTTATCAATTCACTTTGAATTCAATAGGTACATATATTATAGAAATATAGAATACAGTATTTTGCACGGGCCGTGATATTAATTATTATTTTTACCTATACCAAGGCCGTGAATCATGGCACAAACTGAGTAACTGTTCAGAAAAAAGGACAAAGAGGATAATTTTTGATGTTTGGATGTATATTCAATACATCATAATTGAAAATTATGTACCTAGACCTAGTCACAATCCACAGTAGATAGGTACCATGATTAAAGGTTTTTAATCGTGGTAGATACCTACCTACTGCATCATTATTAATTATTTAATTATTCGCAATGCCCAATTGTATTTTAAAAAGGTTATTATTTAGAATATAACAGTATAATTTAGGACATTTAATTAAATCCAAATACCTATAACATTTAAAACGTAAAATAAAATATAAAATCTAAATTGGTACCTACCTGATTCACATTTTTTTAGTAATTTGGTTTCCTTATTATACTAATCAGTAATCACCATACTTAGCATCGTCTATATTTTCTGATGCTACGGTTCGCCTGAAACACGTCTGTGACTATCCAGACATCTATTATCCACTAACTTGTACCTACATTACATTCAGGAAAAAATCATAGGACATAGGTCATAGAGTAAGACTCAGCAGTCTGGATCAACTCCATCGAGTGCATCGGCTCTCCAAATTCTGTTACACAATGAATGTGACAATTTATACATTTACACCAATGGTCCTGACTACTGAGCTCTAATAGCTTCTGCTAAGCTGGTAAACGTATAACTACATGAATCATCTGTCTTAGTCTTACTTCAATCATTATAACTGCAAACCTATCAAATAACTTGGTAAATTTTTATATTTCTGTATCTGTGTCAACGGTAGTTATATATTTTACAAGACTTTAAGTATAGGTGCAAAAGCCCCTTAATTTTTTTCATATTACCTTATGTTTGTGGATACCTGCATAATGGCTATTAAAATTTGAAGAAATTTGAGGGTGCTAAGCACTCCCAAGCACAACCCAAATTGCACCTATGTATATTACCTACCTATATTACCCTTTATTATACTTAAAGCTATAAAGCTTCCATTTTGTTGACTAAATCTTTTTATTTAATTAAGAATTATTATATCATGAGCAATCGGAACATTTGGGTTAGGTATATTTGTTCTTAAATAAACAAATAATTCGTACACCATGTGTAATCTCCGTGTTTATATCTATATTTTGCTGATTAGATAACTGTTTAGCATAAGTAAAAGCTACAGAAAGTAACCAAAATTAATAATAGTTTGTTTCATTTGGTAATCGAGTTTTTCAATTTTATTTTTCAACTTAGAAGTAGTTTTAAACGAATAAAAAGGACAAGAAACATTGTAATCTTGCATGAAAATTATCAGTACAAAAAGTCGCTCAGAACTCGATGCAGTGGCGTATCTAGGATTTTGCTGCCCTGCAGGGTACACATTTTTTTAATGCTTTCTTACCCCACCAGTTTTTTCATAATGACAATTTTTCTCACCCATAAAAAAACTTACAACACATGTGTTAAATGTTCTGCGTCTCCCCCTCCAATAAAAAGTGCTACCTGACACAATTGCCCCCTATGACCTCCCTAAATACGCAATGTAAATCTAATATTAAGTAAATCTGACTCAATGAGTATATACCGCGAATGAAGAAATTGATTTGTATGCATGTCTAACGCAGCTCCTGATTCGTTTAATTTAATTTATAAAATAAATAATAACAATAATATTAATAAACATACAAAAAAATATATGACTTAAGCTCAATTGGAGTACCTAATAATCATAGGTGTAAATGGTGTAATAATGGAGGAGGCTAAGGGGGCTATGGCCTAACCTAACAGAATTCTTACTGTTAAGCTCCCTCACAATTCACACGAAGTTCCGTCAGCGTCGTCGATAGCACAAATAAAATAAAAAGCCCATAGCCCTCCCCCCGGCCCCCTCCGAATAAATTCATCACGCAACGCCAATGGTAATAATATTACTATAAGTCAATTATATTTTCTTTTCTTTATATGAAGAATTAAAGTACCTACTTGAGTAATAGTATTCAAAAACTTTTGAAAAATGTACTTCAACAAACTAGTTTATGTGATATGGTGTCTGTATATAAAATCAAATAGTAACTTTCAAATACTTTAAGAAATTTTTTTACTTTATATATTTTCTATTTTAATTTTTATCACATAAAATAAAAACAAACATTGAGAATATATATAATAAATAATAATATAGGTATTTTTTACGTTGAATTATACTCAGCTGAAAATCAAATAGGTACTTTGTCACTTTGACAGAGAAAACAGTTGAGTATTGTAAAGTCTCGCAAAATGATGCTGTGTAAAATGTATACGCTAAATAAAATTAACATAAAACATAAAAATCGGTTTAGTTGAAAGGTAAAAAAAATATTTAATAAACAATTTGAAAGCATTAATTTTTTATTTGTACCTTCTCAAATGCTTTTTTTTGCTGAATATTCAAAAATGTATTTTAAATAGGTACTTTTCAAGGCAAGCTTCTGTATCTGAAATCTCTACTTGAATACCTACTTTTAAAAACCATCTTTTACAAGACTGTTCATAAGTAATAAAATTGAGCTTAAAACGGTATTTTTACTTTCCTTCATGATTTACTCCTATGGTAAAGTGATATTATACCCTTTGAAAATTAACGATAAAGTAATTGTTAGGTAACCTTGGTTACCAGAAAGTTTGACTAGCTTAGCTCAGAATCGTTTTTTGTCGTATATGCTTCAAATTTAACACATCCATTACAGTTACGTATTCAATAACGAGGCACAATTGACACCTACCATACAGAAAAGCTTTTACCTACTTGACGGTAGTTTTAATCATTACATATGTATACAAAAAAAAAAACTTTTTTAAACAATTATTTACAACTTCTCAAAGTTTTATAAAATATTATTTAAAACGTTTACCGTACGACCACTCCACGAAAGCGTGCATTTTTTAAAAGTATGATGTGAACTTCCGAAATTCCGAACGATGGTGTTCTATCATCCAGTACGCTTCAAAACAAATAGGAGTTTAAAGGGAATACAATGCAGGTACCTATATACAATATACATCAATAATTTACATATTATATTAGTGTATAATGTGATATTTTTTCACACATTTTACACAAGTGATTTGCTTAAATCATTAATTTATGAAGTTCCTGTAGTATTTACTTGTATTGAATTTAAACTTTTAAAGTTATATCCAATTATAATAGTGTATAAGATAATTTATTCGTTAATAACATAATAATATGGTCTTTATTATTTAAGTGAGTCAAATGATCTGAAACCGATAAAAGGACCATTATATAGTATATACCTTTATATATATGCCTAAAAGCTAAAGGACATAGGTATATTGTTTGATTTGCATGTTAATTTATACACAGATATTATTTCGTAATTACCCAACGTTCCTCATCTAATATAATTAATGTAGATGTATACAATAAAATATACTTGTTATATATTTTGTATTGTTAGTTTCGAATTTATTGTTTTTATATTTTTCAGATAGTTTTAAGTTCAGTTTAAATTTTATTATTATTATTTTTTTTTTATTTTATTCTATAGAAAGGTATATGTTTTAAATAGTTCGACCAGAGGCAGAACTGAGAGTTTTACGGTCAGCTCTCATTTTTACGCCATGGAAAAACCTTAAAATCACTAATAATCATGGACCAATATTGAAATACCTTTCCCTATAATGTTTTCCAATAATAAGCATCATTAGCACAATTAATGCCGGGTTGCATGAAAAATGTATTCTTTAATGGTACAATAAAATGTAAAAGACCAATTAGTAAGGGACCACTAGTCTCCTATTAGGGTACCTTAAGTACTTTACCCACTTAATATCATAAAACATTTACAACAGAAATGGTAAATCACAACGATAAAATTCATAGGAGAAAACAGTTTGGGGGATAATAAAATATTTGAAAATAATTCACCAGAACCATATTTTAGCAGAAAAATAGTTATCTATCCCGAATTTATATTATAAAATAAATATTTTGATAGAGTCGTATTTAATCCGAAAAATATTATATCAGTACAGTAATTCGTCCGATTGATATGTAGGAAAGTATACTACCGAAAGTAAAATAACAGAAAATATGTTATCCTTTATAGTTTATTTTGACTCCTTTTGAGCTACTTAGGTATAAGTTTTCGAAAATTTAGATTTTCATTAGTTTTTATTTATATACTGTCAGTAAAAATCTGTTCATTATGACAAAAGACTATGCAATTGAATACAAGGTTTTTGATAAGTTGTCATCAGAGCAAATTAAAAAAAAAAGTTGAGTGTAAATTCAAAATATTTTTTTAAGTGTCCGAAGATGAAATGTTTGCATTGAATGAATAAATAAATTGAGTGAATAAATAAATTGAGTGAATAATTTTCTTATAATTACTTACCTGATAACATTTACAAATTATTGACTCGTTTTAAACTATTTATAGACACTTTAAATCTTCATTTTTATTTTAGTTTTTCTACGAATGTCAATAAATTTTAAAGATTTAATAGAAGTATAGTTACAAGTAGTTTTTATAGCAGTTGAAAAATATTAAAGTTACATATAACAAAGTCATGATTTTTTTTTTATAACCGTTTAAAATTCATCACAATCTCAAA